GAACAAATAATTTAACTGGTTTTATTCAACACAAATCAATACCTAAAATGAAACAATGCTAAGCAAATATTACAAAATATGTAAGCACCTCAGCTTCTAACTTGAACATGGCGAGGCATATTCACTCATCGCTGGACAGATTGCTGAGGACTGACCATTCTTTCAGCAACCCTAATGCATGTACTCCGTTATAAATCACAGGTATTCCAGCCCATCTGTTTGACAGTCTTTTGTGCACAGAGTATATACTTAAAACAGATGGTTCTTCAGTGAAGAAAATGGTTCTGTATAGGACCATGAACACTCAAAGAACCCTTTGCATGGTTAAAGGGTTCTCTGCATGGTGAAACTGTTCTTCAGACTGATGGAGAATGTGTTGCATATTGTTTTATAACCTTTTAAAATGGTTCTATGTAGCACCAAAAATGATGCTTCTATTCTTACAAGCTTGACAATAGCAGAACCCTTTTTAAAGCTATATAGAATTATTTTTAAAATAGTTCTATATAGAACCATACACAACACATTCCCCATCAATCTGAAGAACGATTTCACCATGCAGAGAACCCTTTAACCATGCAAATGGTTCTTTGAGTGTTCATGGGTCTATATTGAACCATTTTCTTTAAGAGTGTGAGACGTTTTAACTTGGAAAATCATCAAACCATGTCATTTGACCCGGGGTGCCCAAACTTCTGCATACAACTGTACTTTGATTGGGATTAAATCTGGTATTGGCATCTGGTGTCATGTAAGCTCCACACTTTAACCAAACTGGTGCTAAAATGGGTGAGATATGAGGGCTGAGCAGGTCTGAGAGCCAATCATTAACTGCTTAAATATGCTGTCTTTTGGCCTATCTATAAAGTATGAATATGAGAAAAGGGAAGAATATTAAGTGTGTGGGGCTAGTTACAGGTCGAGACTTGTCAGACAGGGGTTTCTTTTTTATTATTTATTCTTAATTAACTGCAGCACTATTGATCAAATCAGCAAACACTGCCATCTTGGATTTCGGGGGTATCAAGGGAGGGAAAATTGCTTCTAGGTTCTATATTCATCTAGCACACTGCTGTGCCACTCAGCACTCTGCAGGCAAATAGATTACAATTAGTCTGGTGTAATGGCCCATAAGCCCTGCTCTAAAGGCTGCTGGGAAACCTGCGGGATGATTATGGATGACATGATCTAAACAGCGCCGAATGGGGCTGGATGAAATAGAGCTACTCACTTTAACATTTAGATGTGCACATTATGAACTTAAGCGCCTCTAAGCCACCAGCTTTTTTTTTTTTTGTTTCCCAAGCTCTAACTCATCAGCCTGGGGCTCCTCTCCAACAACACTTCAGCATTCCATCCAAATATTTGAACACTTAGAAAAGAAGAAAAGGCGAAGCCACACACGGGCATTTTTTCTCCTATGGAAACAACTTGAGAATTGTTTGAGGCATAACAGGAATACTTGCTGTCTAAAACATAATGATCTTCATTTCACAAGCTTGCTGAGTGCTAATCTAGCCTGTTGAACAGAGAATGAAACCAATTATGTCGTTGTCCTGCCACGGCTCACATTCGTGCCATCACTAACTATCACTAACTAACCAAACGTGACAAACAGTGTTCTGAAAATAAACTTTGAAAAGGCCTACATAAAAGCATCTCAACTTCTCTGCAGCCAAACACCACAGAAACCTCAAAAAATAGTTGTTATTTTTGCTATCTGTCTGCACTGTGTACTTTGGATGCTTTTAGAATGGCTGAAATCATATTTAATGAATAGATAGTTTTTGTTTTCACTGGGCAATCATTCGTAAAAAAATAACATTTCTTGTGGAGTCCCACAAGGTTCAATATTAGGGCCTTTACTTTTCTCTTTGTTATGTTTAAAAATTGTTTTTTCCAGCTATGCTGATGACACACAATTCTATACCACCATTCCTTCTGGAAATCAAGACCCTGTGGACAGGCTTACCAGTTGTGTGTCAGATATTTCTCCATGGATGTCACAAATTTTCTACAACTAAATTAGGAAAGAAAACAATCCTTGGTACTAAGATTAAGCTGCCTTGTGGGAAACTAGTCTCTTTTTCTTTGCATACCAAATCTGAAGTATAAAACCTGGGTGTAATCTTCAATTCTGAGCTCTGTTTTATCCCGCATGTAAACACAGTCACTAAAGTAGCTTTTTATCATTTGAGAAATATTGCTAAAGTTTGACCTTTTCTATCTCAGAGCAGAGAAATTTGTTGATGCACTACAGCAGAGTTGATAACTGTAATGCTCTTCTTAATGGGCTTCCTAAGAAAACAACCCATCCTCTTCAACTTGTACAAAATGGAGCAGCGAAAATAGCTTCCCAATTTTGAAAGAACTCCACTGGCTGCCTGTATCTTTTACGATAGACGTTTTTTTTATTTTACTAGTTATTAAAGCTGTAAAAATGACCTTAAAGCACCTGCATGCCTCACAGAATGTCTGTCTGTTAATGTTTCAATACATGGTCTTAGATCTGGAGATAGTGGCCTTCTGCAAGCACTGAGAGTGCTTTTCTGTTATTACACTTCTAAAGACTCAATTCTGTTATCCAACATTTACCATAGTAGTAGAAATTCAAACTCTCTAGAGAAGCAACTGTCATTATAAAGTTATTATTATTATTATTATTATTATTATTATTATTTTCTAACCGATGAGACACTAATATTGAAAACCCAAGGCTGTAAGTTCTGGCTAGGCTGTAGCAAAAAATAAAACCCCAAAAAAGCTGCACTGTGTTAGCCAGTGTTCATTCTTGCCACCAGAGGGAACGCCTTTATAAAACACCATTAACCTGATGGATTGGGTTGTAGTCGTGCAAGAGCCTCCTAATGCATAACAGAGAAAGGTCACACAGTCATTGTATCTGTTAGACAGTGATGACTTCAGTGGACTTTGGCTAATACACATAAAAACAAGCGAGCGGAACGGAATCGGAAAGCAATTTCTTAACATCTCAATTGTCAGCGACAGTGTGGACTACATCAAGGCAAGATTCATGTGGCATCCAAGTGAGTGATTGTGACAAGCAGCATGAATAAGAAGGAGCATCAAACGCAGAGGATCCGGACCTGCTAAACGCAGGTCTACTGTATCCGGCACGACCTGAGCAGCAAAGGACGCGGCATAATGGATGATTAGTTGTGTAATGAGAGCATGATGCATAACTGTGGGCTGCTTCTAGTGCAATGTGGGAATAACACCTCACACGGAGAAAAGGATCTTTGTCTCACAGCGAGTACAAAGCACACATTGTCAGAACATCTGCATTCCACAGCAGTGTCTCAACAACTGCCATATGGTCATAAAAATAGACTGTGCTTCTCTGGCACTCAACAATGGGCAATGCCAAACGTGAGAGACCCGACTTTTAGATATGTAAAACCTTGCAGAGCTGCTTGCAGCCAAGAGACTCATGCTAACAGTGAGTTGATGGCAGTAATCCATATTCAGGATGAGGTTAAAAGGGGGATAAAGCATGAAAATAGGCTTCTAAACAGATAGGTCTTGTAACGTAGTGACATGGTTGTGCATCATTCATAAGCCAGAAGTCTCGTGAGGCACGCACTTGAGCCCTACACGGCAGTGCCTGAATCTGTTCCAAAGAGAAGGCCCTGGGTTAAGCTCTGAGGATATTTAAACGCCATAAAAAATCTATGAGCCATTGCTTTTTCCTGGAACTCTCGGTGGTTGAGGAGTATCCAAAATCAGCCCTAATTTGGCACATCTGACCTGTACGTGATTGAGGAATCGTGAGGCACGAGATCAGACCTTGGTTCTGCAATAAAAGGTTTGCGCAATAGGATGATCAGTGGAAATTCTCATTGTACTTGACTTGGTATTTTCAGTCACATCCATTCAAACAAAGTAACCCACCATTAAAAGCAAAATCACTACATTGCAGGGCCTCCATCAAAAAGAGTTTCCATGCCACGGATGAGTGATAATATGCAATATAAGAAGGGATGTAACCAAGTTTCTTATGCAAGTGTTAAGGTGAATAAGAACGCTGGTGGGGATCATATCCGTACCCTCATTTTTCTAGTTAAATTGGACCAAATAGCTCAGAGGAGCAAAGCTGGCATTGAATTAGGTCCAGTTGAGCCCGGGATGCCTCCTTTAATCCTGTAACTAATTGTAAGAGCTCATTGATACGTTTGCAGGGAGGATAAGTCTACTTTTACCCAAGCCCTGCAATCAATCTGGAGGAGGCTAGCATACAAAGACAAACACATGAGGCAATGACAGCACACTTTTTAAAAACCCAAGAGTGCCCCTCTGGCACTATAAGTGCACCATTGCACCATCTTTCATTCTAACATCATGTGCCAGAAAAAAAACATTTATTTATCAAGCACGGTAATCCGTTATGGGATGCTGTCAGTGCAACTTCACTTTTCCAGTCTAACAAGAAATAAGAAGGCAAACCAAAGTACTCATCAGATTTTTGTCCACTAGAGGGAGAAGTGGCTCTATAGTGAACAGCTGTGCTTGAGAATGTTACTATGATACATTTTATATGAATTTCTTTGTTGAGGATCAATAGGCCGATATCTCCATGTCCCTTTTTCCACTCCAGGAAATCCTGCAAATGACTGAGGGACCTGTGGGAGACAGTTGCCTGGAATCTGCCTTAAGCAGTCTCCATTTGAGGGGGTAAAATTGAGGGTAGGGGCACAAAGATGTCAACTTCTCTCAAAACAACAAAAAACAGATCTGAAACTTTCCTTGAAATGGGAGTTGGATCTTGTAGGCAGTGCCCCTGAGGAATAGCAAGTACATGAGCTTCACCGCATAAATGGAGGCTAACATGCTTGCTGGCCAATTCCTGTACTCCCTAGTGACATTTCACTTATCATACAAATTTTCTCTCCTGCAGAGTCTGGCGTACTCGCCCTCTAATGAACAAAAAACATAAACATGAGCCAGACTTGAATACTGGAGCAAAAACCATTGTCTCTTACCTTCATAGATTGCTTTAAATCCTTGGGCACTCACAGCAAAATCTGTGGTGAACCACAGTGCTAGTATAGACCCCGAACTTACTATCGGCGACGGCAACATGAAGCCAGACAACCTGAAAAAGAGAGAGTCGTTTAAGTGGATTCCAATGCCACATTTCATTGAATATCAACTGAACTTCAAAATTAGTAAATGAATACAGATACTAATACAGATACTTTAAATATGTTGCAGCATATTAAAATTAGATGTTGAAATATACATAGAGTTATATTTTCATGAAGCTCTTTAGAAAACATTAAAACACATATATTCTATTTTATTCTGTGTTATGAAGATATTGTATGTGGGGAGAAGAGCCCTTTAAAATGTTCATTATAGACATTGCAATAATCAGGTTCATGTTAAAACCATCCTTCCAGTATTTTCTTTCTTATATATATTATGGCAGGTGAATACAAATAAATTACATTACAAATAACAAATTTGTGATCTGGCTACATCCATTTCATACACATATATAAAGACAACATGACACACACCTGGATGAACTGGTAACCTCTCATGCATACACTTTGCATTAAAAGTTTCGGGAGCCCTTGCGTTCTGTTGAAATTGTTCACTATTACTTTTCAATAAAGAAAAAAACCTTTGTTAACCTAAAACAGCTCGTATTAATACTTATCTGTTTGCTAATACTTTGGGTATATTGAACATCTGAGATTAGATAAGTGCTGACATCACAACAGTGTGTGACGTATGGTTGTGTGCAAAAGTTTAAACACCTCCAGTTATATTACATGGATTGCTGATTTTCTAGGTGAAAATAAGTTAACATCCTCTACAGAAAAACTCATATATGGCATTTTCTGCTAATGTTTGTTCACAATTTCTGTATATTTGCTGAATTTAACATATTGGACTGTATAGTGCACTATTTAAGTCTTGAAACTTTGGTTTCTACACCCAAACAGTGCTTCACATGTTAAATAGCAACCAAGACTGAATCCCAAATGGCTGTCTAATAGACAAAAAGTGCACTATTTAAGTGTTGAGGCCATATTTACACAGAGCACTATATAGGGAGCAGGGGGCCATTTGGGATTAAGTGATAATTAGTATCTTTTAATAACACTGCATGGTGTTATGAGGATTTTATTTCTGAGAGGAAGTGCTTATGTTCACAAACGTGTCATATGTATTGAAAATGCTCAAAATCACAGAAGCAATAACTACCACTTACCAAGCATTGTCTTGCTAACCGCTAACTACTTTGAAATGACTATTTTGAAAGTATTTCACTCTTTAACTTTTGCAGCAAATTAATTTCATCATCGGAATCAGCCAATATGCAAGTTTGGTTTGTACATTGTAAAGAACTATTCTGGCCCATCGTATAAAAGGCTACAGCTAGGAGATGCCCCCTGGTGACCAATACTGATAGCACAGTTTGGTGTCTGAAGGTTGGTGCTCCTTGGAAGCTCAGACTATGTTCGAGCTGAATTGTAGTGACAAAGTTCAAGAATGCTGATTCACAGAAAAAAAAAACAAAACTATTTTCTCTTTATTCCTTCTTCAGATTCTAAGCTATTCCAAGCTATTGATAGACCACCTTATGCAATTTTGAACCACATTTGTAGTGCAAGATAAGAGTCACTCAACATACGTCAGAACTTGGAAACTGCGGTCACTTGCTTGCAATTTTCTTGCCTGTGCTCTCAACAGGTAATTATCCTGAGACGCAAAGTAACACTTCAATATGTGTTTTTTCCTAGTAAGAAGCTCATAATTATGGTAATTCCAGGACAACATGAGTGTGGCCTGAGTGGGTGAGGAGGAAATAAAACACTACACGTCACCAGCACATATCAGCGGCTTCCCTCATTATATGCCTGAAATTTAGACTAAAAATACAGAAGCCTGACTCTGCACTGTACGTCCAAAAGTTTGTAGACAACTGCTCATCCAGCATTTAATAGCAAGTTTGCTCCTTTGCTGCAATAACAGCCTCTACTTTTCTGGGCAGGCTTGACACTAGATGTTGAAACATTGCTGTGAGGATTTGATTGTAGCCACTAGAGCACTAATGAGGTCAGGTACTGATGTTGGATGATCAGTTCTGGATCACTCCAACTCATCCCAAAGGTACAGGATGGAACGCCATCACTCCAGAGAACACAGCTCCACTGCTCTACATCCTAATGCTTGAGGGCTTCACACTCCTGTAGCTAGCATTGGGCATGGTGACCTTAGGCTCATGTGCAGATTCCCCAGAGCATCCAAATGCTTTTCTATGGAAATTATACAAGCTGTGTTTGCTCAGTTGAGCATCTGTGTCAGCAGTGGGGGCACATTCAGCAGCTTAATTCACTCATTAAAAGGGATACTTTTGGACATTAGTGTAGGTAGATGTGGCTGGGGAATAAACCAAACAAGACTGGGCAAACCTAGTTTTGCTGAAATGCCATAGGCTAGAAAAAAAAACAACAAAAAAAAAGAACACCACAAACGTTATGTATTGGATGGCAAATTAATGTTTCAGTCAGCCTGCAGTGTGTGATGGGTACTATGACCACCACTACCACTACCGCCACTACCACTAATAATAATAATAATAATAATAATAATAATAATAATAATAATAAGTAGAATGTACAATAATTGTTTAAGCAAATTAAGCCACCTTATGTAAACAGTAAAATTATATGTCTCTTATTATTATTATAGCAGTGGCATCCAAGGAAATATGATACACTATCATTATCCAGGAAAAGGAGCAGCAGCAGATAACTCTGTATTCTCCATGGATTCGTTTGATAATTTATTTAATAATTCTGACATGGTGTGTTTACTGTCACGAATAAATCAGTATAGATTAATTAGCCGGCTGTGCAGCTGGATCTAAATTATAATAAACAGACTATTAACATAGTAACAAACCCATCAAACTGATGATTTCTATTTACACATATCTTTGCACAAAGTGTCTACAATTGCTCAGAATCATGTGTCAAATAAAATGTACACTTTCTCTATTATAAAAACATGAGATAAAAACATTCTCTAGGCGCTAGCATGCATGCTAATAGCTTATAGAATGCATGTTTCATTGTTTTATTGGAGAACAATTTTTTTTTTACAAAGTAATCGTTTAAAAATTGCAACTGACACTACAGAAAACTATACTAAGTTACTTTCTGGTGCACTCTTGTAGTGCTTGATAACCTCATCCTCACCTGGAAGAGTAAAGAATAGCTAAATAAGGTCTTATTCACACATGCTACCTCTGCTTGGTGTGAGCGATGCGGCAGCGTGAGCGCTACAGCTCAAACACACTGGCCTTTCATACATACAGCGTTTGTGCTGCGGAGTGGAACGGTGAGAAATTAGACATTCCTTTGTTCAGAGGGATAAATGGTCACTTCAGTCATTCTGCTCAACAAAAATATCATTTATAAAAGTGCACGGTAAATTTGTTTGACCTGGACCTAGGCAAAAGTTTCAGGCCTGGAAAACAAACTGGGAAATCTGTTTGCAGATCAGAATGTTAGAAGTTTGTATATGGTCTTAGGTTAAATTTTCATTGATTTTGATGGCTTATTTGTGTATTTTGCTGTGTGACACGTGCGGTGCGTGAAAAGACAGCCTATTCTCTAAATATTGCACCACTTCAGTGCGGCGCCTGGAAAGTTCTGCCACTTTGTATGCGCAGCCTGTGTGCAAGCGGTGACCACTTAACATGGGCACCGAAATGAAAAGCAAGACCATCTACGTTGCTCACGCCACACAGACGCAGTATGTGTGAATCAGGCCTAAGGCTGCTTAAATATAGCAAGATGAAGAAAAAAATCCAACTGAAGTCAGACACAGCTAGAGCTCAAATACAAATAGTATGATGTGTTACTGTACCTGTTATTAGAATGATGTGTTTATTGAATATATTTCTTTCTTCCATTGTTAGTCTTATATCAGTAGTGTTGGGAGAACATGTGGATGACATTTAATGGTGTATAGCACCACCTGATTGTCTCGGGTGATGCTTGCACATGGGAATCAGTCAGTCAGTCAGTTAGTCAGTCAGTGACTCAGTGAGAGATATCAACTCTTGCAGAGGGGCCTGCTGGGCAGTCCAGCAAAAAAGCAACAACAACAACAACAACAACAACAACAACAACAACAACAACAACAACAACAACAACAACAACAACAACAACAACAACAACAACAACAACAACAACAACAACAACAACAACAACAACAACAACAACAACAACAACAACAACAACAACAACAACAACAACAACAACTCGGATGCATTTGTTATTTGTTGAAAGGCAGAGCGCACCAGGCTGAATCTTTGACCACACATTCTTAGCCTTGGGCTTCTGGGTACCATCTGACCTCTGCCACAACCCAGGTAAATTACAAGGGCACAGGAGGGAGATCAAACCCAGGTCTACTGAAGTAAAGGCGGCCTCTGTGGCGTGCAGGTGAAGGATCAGACATGTTCATTTGATGAAAGCCCTGGTAGATACAACGGCCTCATTCTTCAGGGAGCACAGTTAAGTGCTGCTAGTCCAGTGACCTTCAATCTAAAGCCAAAATTTCAGGTGGTAACCTCGGATGGCTCAGTCTTCTGCTTTTGCTTTGCCAGGGCAGCAGAACAGCAGAGCTGAACAATTCCGGCCCCCTAAAGCTCCAAAGAAATCGGCCCAAATCAGCCTCATTTGCAAAGGGAAAGCTTGCTTATAGTACAGAGCTCTGCTAGTAAACATTAGTTATTTTAAGAACGTACATTTCGAATGCACCGCTCTGAACACCTCTGCTCGGACTCGCAGGCCTCCAGCTGCACATATGTTGCCATTTTCTCTGGTGAAGCAACTATCATGTCATGGCAAGCGTGTCTTTGATCAATCTTTTATTTTTTCCCCGTTGTTATGACCAGTGATGCTGTGTTTGTTCTACACAGCATTCCATGTTTTGTCTCATTTCGAACTTGAGTGGTGTATCAATCTTTCATTTGATATTGTTACGCGGGACAACTCCGCTGAATCATTTATTTGTTTCTCATCTAGCCTCAATGGATGGAGGGGGCCTGAAAGAAAAATGAATGCC